AGTAAGCACGGAAGCCGCGCTCGCCCGAAAAAGGCGCGAAGCACCGGAACCCCCGCCTCCTGCGCTCGCCAGCTGGGCTCTGCTCTAGGAAGGAGGCACTGGCAAACCACTTTTGAAACACCTTGCCTTGAAAATTGCAAAGGACTCGTCCAAAAGCAGTCACTGCAGAGTCGGTAACGACTGAGTGCGGATTAAAAACAAACAAACAAACTAAGTACTGCAGCCATGCATATTAGCAGCACCCCACAGTACAGCCAAGTGCAAATACATCCAGAATTTCTATAAAAAAGGTATTAAACTTGAAACTCCCAATCCTAATGAGTGCAAGGTGGGATAAACAAAGCCCTGACCTTCTAGTTAAATAAAAGACATTTTAATCCCATTTTAAGCAGGAGACAGAAAAAAAACCTACCCAGAGAACATAACAAATGAACAGGTTTGTAGGAGGATATAAGGGCAGATAGGTATCTGGAACCTCATTGCCATTGACGACAAACTGACAAAATGTCTTTTGCAGTGTCACAATGGAATTACATAAGGGGCAAGATTTGCATTGCTACATAGTGATGTGCATTTCGTCATTTGCCCCCCTTCCCTCCTGCTCTTTGCAAACACGTATGGACCAGAAAGCTTTACATACAGGACGAGCATTTGTTGTTTAAACCAGGTTCCAGCTATTCTCAGGAGCCAATGAAGACCTCTGCCATGTAGTGAACTATAAGAATAACACATAGGACACAGAATAACCTGAATGCCATTGTTCTGGTCTAAGATCAGGGAGAAATCCTGCCAAGAGACTGCTGCAATAATCTGGGCATGAAACAACTAAGGTATGCACCAACAGAGCCTCTGTCAAATAAAGAAAACAAAACACAGATTTGGTTAATGACTGAAATAGAATCAACACAGCCAGATTGGAAAATGCATACTGGTTTCCATGCTCTAGATGAATAAAGATTTTAAGGTTGAAACAAATAAATGTACTGGTTCCTGGATTGCAGCCAGTTCTCTCAGACAGAAATAATGTTTTTTAAACATCCAAGGATTAGTGTTTGAGTAAGCTGTTAATTGGTTGTTAGTTGACTTCAGAAAAAATAAAGAGAGCATATTAAAAAGGAAGAGCTATTTAAACCAACCCTGAAAGGAGTGATATTCATCCATTAATTTGTATATCTGGGAAAAAGCATATTGGCACAATTCATCCAAAATTATTTTAACATTGATTTCAATGGAAACAAATAATTTTGTTCCGAGCATTTTCTTTTTCCTTGTGTTCTTCCCCTCTACTTTTCTTTAACTGTAATAAACTGAACTTGAAATGCTTAGTTTTAGTTGGGCCACGTGGAGTGTACTTAAACTGCTGTTTATTTGCATACTATTTTTTATGGCTCTACAGAGAAATGACGTACAACAATTACTACGGTATCAGAAAAGGGATATTAGCTACTTTGTGAAGGCCCAGGACATACTGAAATGGAGCCCACCAGAGAGGATCCAGCCACATCTTTGTGAACTCTCCTGTCAACAGTCTGTGTCCGGAAAGGTGCCGCCCACCAAGCCCCCTCTCAAATTTGACCTGGTAGAGTTTTTTTCTTCTTCTCCCACTTCTACAGAACCTCCAAATTCCAGAGGCCCAGACTAAATTGAGACTGCTTACTGTTGAATGAATATCCCTTTATAATTTTTTTATCTATCTATCTATCTATCTATCTATCTATCTATCTATCTATCTATCTATCTATCTACCTACCTACCTACCTACCTACCTACCTACCTACCTACCTAATCACCTGCTGCAATCAAGAAGACTCTCAGCAGATTCAATCTTGATCTCTTGGGGCATTTCTTTACTAGTTGATTTCTGATAGACTACATTAAACAGAATTAAGTCTAGTTCACCCAATCGTCCCCAATCATCCTCAGCAAGTCTCCCTCCAGTGCCAATGTAATAACATTTTTGTAGCATACTGCTGAGTAGCTGTTTAAATTCTAGATACTAACACTAGGCCATTTTCTGGCCCTTGTGTCAGAGTGGGGTAGATTGGTTGGTTGACTATTTATTTAACTTTCTGTGAAATAACTTTTCTTTTCTGTACCTTTCTTAGGATGTGAACCAAGTCCACTTAAAATTCAAGGAAGGGCAGTAGATTTTTTTTTTTCCTGGCCTTTCCCCCACTTTTGCATTTTAAAAAGCCCTAATCCTCACTTGGTAGCAACAATGCCAGGGCTGTCTTCCATCTTTGCTTCTTTCTCCAGGAAAAGACTATGACTGTGCTTGTACATGTCATGATTAGGTCTTGCAATGGTGTTGTCAGTGTGGAAGAGTTGGCACCAGATCTGTAAAATGGGAGGGTCTTTGTTCAAGATGAGCTGTAGTCTGGAAGTGCACGTATTCAGATTCAAAGCAGAAAAAGTGCTTTGGAGGGAATGTGAATGTGCTTTCTGTACCTATTGGCACCTCATTAAAAAGCTGTGCTTTCTGGTGAGTTTGCACAGCAGCTGCATGTTCACAGAAAACATGTTTGAGCTAAAGAACCATTAAAGAAGCAGTGACACTAACATTGTCACACTCTATGGGTGCCTTCATAACTGAAACATAAGGAAGGCGTAGCTTCTTTAAGGGGGTGCTAAAAGGTGCAGTGAGCATGCCAATATCCCCTCCAAGGCACATTTCGCTTTGGGTCAGAATAACTGGATGTCACTAGGCTCTGAAGAACTGAAGTTAACATTTGAGTAGTTTTAGCAGGGATCTACAGATGAGAAGTTGTGTGCAGCCTCTCTTCTCATCTGATTCTTTCTGGAAACCAATGTAGTAGAGGCATTGCAGGATTGAACACTGTTGTCAAAATTGCAAAAGCAGTGGCACATCATAGCATTGCAAGCTCTGCCCCTTTTGTACATATGTGACATCATAGTGCATATACAACAGGGGTGGGGATCATGACACAATATTCCTTTCATCATTTGTCCCTCTTCAGACACCCCTACCGCAGGGGCAGCTGATAAGCTTTTTAACTGTATTGGATGAGTATTGTAGTTTGAAAAATATGTGTGTTAAAACACTCACTTGTGTGTCTCTGAACAGAAGCAACTGCATCACAGGGCTTGACCGCAACTGATGAAATTTCTGTTGTGGAAGGAAGCTGGAAGCGAACTGTCACATGCAGATGGCACTGTCTAAAACTACATATCTTATGGCAGTGCCCAGTGTGATAAATAGGTTTGACTCCTACATATTTGGTTCCCAGATTGAAACATTTTTAATTTGTTCAATTTAATTTGGTCAAAGCTATTCTTCTCTGAGCCAGCCCGCTCCCATCTGTTGTTGCTTGGTGTTATTGTTGCTCTTTTGCTAGCATGGTAGTCTACCCACTTCACGTGTTCTGATCACAACTCTGTTGATTTGTTGAAAGCATCTGACAGTACAGCCAGCCTCAAAGCTCAGGCATAATTTTTGAGGGTTACAATAACATCTGAAACACAGATTTACCATAATCACATTTCATAAGGACTATAAAATGCTGTCTTTTCTACCATACGCTCAGAACATTGCTGGTTTTGTTTCACATAAATTCTAGCTCGAAGAAATCTATAAAGTTTGATGTCTCATTTGTAACATTTTGATAATTCTGAAGTTGCCACTGTTTTATCTTTATCTATTTATTTGGAGGTCTTATATCTGAAAAGAAATTGGGCATTGACTTGGCAAGCTTTCAGGTTCCTTCAAATATCAGTACACGGTAGAATAAGTTTTTGATAGAATCTGTTTAGTCAGACCACAAGCCCGGATTTTTGAAAGAAACATGAATAGTACAACATTATTCCATCTCCTGCTGTTTACAAACCTCCTGAATGTAGTGGTGTTAATTATGATACCACCTCATTATCTTTTGCAAGCACTAGGCTGGAACTGTATGATGCAGCTGGCAGCTTTTCTTCAGCAGTTGCCACAGATAGTCTCTATACTGAAATTATTTTCATCTTGTTTTTGTTCATCTGCTTCCCTAGTATTGTCTGAGCCAGACTGTAAAAATGCCGTGTTTGCTTAGAGGGAAGCTAGAGAATTGATGGATTCTTGCAGGGCACTTTCCCCCTTTATAATTTATCTTTAGCATTATTAGTTGCCTGGTTTGTATTTATATTCATATAAAGGCAGTATGGGATGTTTATGTGGGTATGTATGAGCTAACCCTTGCTTTTTGAGTCAATAAATACCAGCAGGACCCGCTCCCATTATTGCCGAGCTTAATGTACTTAATTATTATGGCAGTTTGACCCACCCACCAGCTGTCCCTCCATCTTTGTTATAAACAAACAAACAAAAAAAATCTGTAGGTTAGTAAATTATGTGATCATGTTCTCTCTCTTATCTGCAAGTCCTGGTTTAACTATACAGTACAAGGACACAGTTAGTTGTTATCTAGGCCTGCAAATTAGTATTCCAAATCTTGTTTCTTCTGTCTTAAGCCTGCTTTTGACTGGCTCCAGCAAAACTCAGATTTAGAATTGACAGTAAGTTACCATAAATATCTGCAAGCACTATCTACAGTTTACTCTAGGTTTTTCTTTTCCCCCTCTAATAATAATGTATTGGAACCTGATGCCTGGGGTCTTAGCCTGCATCTGTTCACTGAACACACAGAACAGCAGCCAGAAGAAGACAGTTGATCATGCCCTTGTCTTAAAAAAAGGCCTAAATTAGAGTACTTTAACTTGCTCTGCAGGGCTGCATGTGAAGACCACCCAGAAACTTCAGCTGGTCTAGCACACAGAGGCATGCTTGCTTAGTGGTCAGTCATGACACATCCACATTACATCTCTGCTGCAGGTGCCGCATTGGTTACCAGTAGGCTTTTGAGTGCAATTCAAGGTGCTGGTCACTATCTATAAACCTCCCATATGGTTTGGGTCCTGGGGGTATCTTAGGGACCACCTTTCCTCAATAGTTTTTGCCTGTCTTAACTGGACAACTAGGGAGAGTCAAGTGTTCCCACGTAACAGGAGGTACAGGGTGAGGGGGCCTGAGGGCAGCTCCCATCCTCTGGAATAACTTGCCCTCAGAAGCACAATCCAACCCAACCTCATGGCCTTCCGGAAGCTTGTGAAAATATGGCGCTTCTAGAGGGGCTTTGGGGATTCACTGCATACTATGGCACTATTTTCTGTGATTTTAGCTTTTTGCCTCTACTTGCTATTTTAATTAACTTTATTCTAATTATGTATTCTGTTTTTACTATGTAAATTCTATAAGCTACCTAGAGTCTGGTTGGTTTCAGTCAGATGAATGTCATAAACACAAGCAAATAAATAATACCTGATGAAGACTAATGTGGAGTTTTTTAAAGCATGACAAAGAAAAATGTCCACTGTCTTCTTGTTCCATCTCTGTTATAGATATATAGATTTTAGTTGATTGAAGATTAAAGCCTCTTTATTTATTTGATTTATAAGGCCTTTTATTTTGTACAACTGAAAGTGCACACATAATGCTCCCTCCTCCTATCTTCTTCACAGTAAAAAAAATTGTGAGGTAGGTAAGAAAGACTGACTGGCCCAGAGTGAGTCAGTCACCTAGTCAGCTCCCATGCCTGAGGACTAGAACTTAATCTCCTGATTTCTAATCCAGGACCTTAGCCACTACCCCAACTTGTTCTTTAAATGATAAATGATTATTTGTTTGATAATATGTGAATGAATGAATGAATGAATGAATGAATGAATGAATGAATGAATGAATGAATGAAACCTTTCTGTTATAATTTGATCCTCTGCAAGAATATTGATAAAAATATTGAATGTTGTTGTTGTGCATGACAACCAAACTGTTCTGGAGATAGAAGTCCAATTTTACATAGCTGCTAGCTGTGTCGGTAATTCTGAGCTTCAGATTACTCTGCCATTTTCATTTTCAGAAATGGTGTACTTACTGAAAATGAACAAATTACAATGATATAATAAAACAGAGCCATCATTTCCTTTATGACAAAATATACAGCATATTTTTAAGTGTCTATTATGCTCTGGAAGCTACCAAAAAAAAAAAGACAACCATAATTTATTACATAATAAATATTTCAGTAATATTTGTTCTCCATGTGTCTCTGTCAGAAGAAATGATACAGAGGCTGATATTTTTTAATAGCAGCCTTTTCTTCATTAGAGGACATAGATGACTTTATTGCAGATTGTAACTGTTCATTTAAGAATACACTTTGACTAACCCAACGCTAGCTACTTAAGTATCTTATGGACAGAAAGGGTTTATATAAATCAAAATAACAAAAACAACAATGCATTTAATGTTTTTTCTATCTATTCTTGAATCTAGAGGTTAACGTAACTATTGCCGGTTTTCCAAGAAGTAAAGTTTTTAATTCATAAAGCCAGACTTCTGTTTAACTTTACATTTCATTTGAAGTTATGCCCTACTTCTGACATCTGCTTGTTGTGCTTTATTGATAAAATGCTTATTGGTCTTGCCTCCTTTTGGGGTGTATAAGAGTTGATAAGAATAATTGGGGTTTTGTTTTCCAGAAATTTAAAACTAAAAGGACCACGGTACAAGCTATGGCAGTGTATCATTTAGTACACTGCCTGGCAGAAAAATGATATTAAATTGCTATAATTTGGAGATGTCCCAGTGACAGATGGACACAATGATCTTCTTGTGTTTCTGCACTTGATACATTTATTAGGAGTCTTGTCATATTCTCTTTTTGAAATAAAGAACAGATTTATGCAGGTAAAGCATTTAAAAAGTTTTGATAGATAGCTTTGAAATTCCTTCAAAAAGCAATGCATTTTTGCAGGACTTCAGTTTTGCCAGCTCTTTTATAGCTCCCCTGAATACTTTCCAAGAATACCTTCCTGATTTTTTCTTAATGTTGTTCTTTTATTTACTAGAAATAGAAACCATGGAAAGTCACATAATGCAAATACTTGTTTCAATTAAAGCATGTTTTGAGGGATGGGCAGGATGATAATAGCAACATTAGAAACCCCCCCCCCAAAAAGAGCTTGAGTTTTTGGCTGAACTATCACAAACTATAAAAGTATTAACTACAAAATTATGAAGGATTGTTTAGTAATATTCTTTGTAATACCTTTTGTAATACAACATGCTTCCATGTTCTGTCATTGACTGCATTATACGTAGGAAAAAATCTATAAAAGAAATGTTTGTATAAATCACTGAATTATAACGGTATTGTGATTTTTTTTTCCACATTGCAGGAATCTTGCAAACCAAGTCCTCCTCAGAAGCCTTTGCCAGCTAATCCTCAGAAGAACAAAGCTGTTCAGTTTAACACTGCTTCCAGGACAATGTGTGAGCTTCCAAAACCTATGCCTCAAATTGCTCCTGTCAGGTTAGTTTGGTTGTCTCTTAGTATGTTTCACACTAAATTCTCTTAATGGAATCAGCTATCCAAATAAGATAGGTTTTATGAACACCACAATGCAAGAAGTTGTTTAATTTTGCAATAAACACATTCCATGGAGAATCAACTTCAGGATAATCTGAGCCATAATGGTGCAAAAAATATTTACATTAAATTTTTCATAAAATGTTCAAATTGTGTATTTTACCAGAATTTTAAGAACTGTGCTGAATCAGACCAAATACATATCCTGTCCAGAATCTGCCAAATAAGATGTTAATTGGAAGCCAACAAGCAGGCAGTAACACCTTTCTAGTTATGTTCCCCAGGTACTGGTCCCTTAGAACCATAATCTTTAGAAGTAATATCTTGTCAAACCTCCAACAGTCTAATTTCCAACCTATTGCTTCTTGTCTCCTTAAATGCTGCCAAAATTCAGTAATGATCTAGCTGAGAGCAAAAAAACTGAAATTATTTTAGGTGAACACGTTATCTCCCTGGACTTCTAAATGGTGACAGTAGCAAGAAGCTCATTTGGATAATTCGGTTTAGTGCACCAGCTATAACCATAGTTTGTCATACCTATAATGGTTATCTATGTTTACTTACATCACAGCTGGATCATTGCAGCTCAGTCTCCCTGAGGTTTCTTTTGAAAAGCATCCAGAAACTTCATTTAGTGCAAAATGTGACAGCTGGTTTCAGTTCCAAACTGAAAAACCTCTAGTAATTGCTAATTATTATCTGGGTTATATTCCAAATGCTGGTTCTGACAGCTCAGGATTTGACAACAAGGACTATCCACATTGTTATGGACATGTCTAGAAGGTTTACAAGAGATGTCCTTTTTAAAGACCCCGCTTTACAGAAGCCTATTTTGTGGGCCTGCTGGAAAGCACCATATTGTTTCTTAATGTAGACCCTATTCTATCTAATTTGAAGGTGGGCATCAAGATTCATCTATTTAACTTTTTCAAAAAAAATGAATTATTTTAATTATATCATTTTTAATTTCTGCTTATAAATATTATATTTGTTATCTACATTTTAATTACTTTTATATTTCCTTTGTTTTGCTGAGTTTCTATCACAGAATGGTAGGGAAAGTAATCCAATGTCTTAAATGAAATAAATTGGTAGTTTGTTGATTAACTGTCACAGTCTGACAATGCACAGTGTAAAAAACTTCCTTTTCTCTGTCCTGAATCTCCACTATTTAGTTTATCAGGTTCTAACACTATGTGGAGAACCATTTCTTGTCCCATCCCTCCAAATCACTCATAATTTTAACAGCATTTAACACGTGGGCTAAAGAGAGAAAACTGCCCCAGCTCTTCAGTATTAGTCTAGAGATGCAATGATCAGAACTAAATATGATATTCCAATACTGTGACATGTATATTGATATCCAGTTGAAATCCAGTTAAGGACTCTCAGGAGTTCACAGATATAGATATATACAATTAAAATATTCATGTAAAATTAAAAAGTAAAACCTAGTTGAAAAACAATAAAAAAATGAATGGCATCTCAGTCCCAATGTTCTATGAAAGAATTGTTTTAAACTGTTCCTGTAAAAGGCAGGGAGGGAGCCAATCTAACTTCAATCATGAGTCCATTCCAAAGGGTGGCATTGCCACCAAGAAGCAACACCTCCAGGCCTCTGCCCCCCTCACCTCTCAAAACTGGGAAATCCAGAAGCTGCTTCTCCTAGAGAGATCATTTGGGTCAGGCTGATTCTAGCTGGAGAATGTGGTCATGAAGTTAATTTGGTAGCAAGCCCAGGGCTTCATAGGATAAAACCAGCACTTTAAATTGCACCCAGAAGCTCATTGGTAATCAGTGCAAGCACTGTAGCAGGCATATGCTCCTGCCAGATGTTGGAGAACACATGGGCCACAGCATTCTGGGCCATTTGCAGCTTCTGAGTGGTTTTTAAAGACAGCCCCAACTAGAACATAGTAAGGTTATCCAAATGGGTAGCAATAGGGGCATGAGCTGCTGCTATAGCAAGGTCTCTTGTCCCAGGTTCAGCTGCGCGCGCACGTGTATACACACAAACACACACCACAACCTGCAGCCTCCTGGATTTTTTTTACTATTAACATTTGGTGGTGCAGTTGGAGTGGGATTCACATGCTGCAAAAAAGTGGTCCAGGACATCTATGTGACCTGGAACTATAGCTTGCCCCACCCTATAAATAGTAATATCATCTTAGTAGTTCCCCAATTGATTTTTTTTTTATTTTTTTGTCTTTCTATCCCTTAACCCTCTTCTGTTGAACAGGCCTGCACCAAAACCTCCACTTCATGTGCCTAGGCCCTGCAATGCTGCCTATGTGAAATGAAAAAAACTGAACACCATTTTTATTCTGGAAAAAAAAAAAACAGAAGTTTGCACTATTTTTCAGTTGGAAATTAATATTTTTATATCAACCAGTAGAATTTTTAATGTTCAGTATTCCATTGTTTTAAGAACTCTGAGCTACTGCCTTTGGTGCTATAGTGTGTGAAGGTGGTCTGCGTCCTTGCTCAGGTACTTATAAATTGTTAATTTATACTGATATTTATTACAGTGCAGAGCACTGTGGTAAATATTATTTCATCATAATCAAGTTTTCTTAGGATGGAAGCCATTTTTATGATGTTTAAACAGTCTTGAACCATCCTTCATTTCAAATTTCTGTAGGCTATATAATACCTCTCAGTGTTTGTTGCTGTTCAGTTTAGATCTCTTCTTTGCAGGATGCTGTCTAGGACTGAAATAAAATTGCTGAAATCAAGGGATCAATGAAAGTTCAAATCCAATTATTTTTCTATTTTTTGCCAAAATCTGGAGGCAAAACATAATTTTTGGAGTAGAATTTACAGAAAGGTGAGGTAAACAGCTGCCAGTGCTGTTCCAATTGATATTCCCTTAGAAAAATGGAAAAAATACTATTTGTAAAAATCAAGGTATACTGTGAGATTTTCTCATAAGTGATTTGAAAGCTTACAGTAAGCAGAGGCAACCAGAAATTCACTGTGATTATGCATATACCAAATGGAAGTCCAATCTACCTCTAATGAACTGTGCATATAGAATGTAACTGTTTTTGGAGAAAATAATACACAATGTGATGCATGCAAAACTCATCTCCATCATCATGGTACAGATGCACATTAAATATACACTGAATTATCTCTTAGGCTTAAATATCTATCCCAAGATCAGCAGTTTTATTCTGATGAGAAATCCAGCACCAACAATCCATTTTTTATTGTAACAGAGTCTCAAGTTAATTCCTTGGAAGTATTTATTTCAGTTCTATAACATATTAATCATCTGTTCCAGAATTACAATGGCTTAGACAAATCTTCAGATAAATTGTACTAGCACAAATAATTTCTTTTGTAATACACAAAAATATCCCTATAGTTGCCTACAACTGTATATCCTATCTCATTGTACTGTAATTTTAAATGCCTGTTTTTCAAGACAATGTATAGGTTTTCAAATAGCTTCTTAAAGTACTGTATATCGGACACCATTTTAATTAGAAATGGTGTGTAATTTCTATCATAATGCATTTTTCAAGCTTTTCAGTCTTTTTGGTGTTTATGTATGTGTGTGTATCTGTACATGAGTATACATATATATACACGTTTGTGTGTGTGTGTGTGTGTGTGTGTGCACACAACTATACACACGAGGCATGTATTTTGATGATTGGTTTCCAACAATACAGAACAAGGCACTTGTCCTTTTCTTACTCTGCAGTGTAACAGATCATATAGCCACAAAAGGTTATAGGTATTTTTATAGTTCAGTAATACCAGTCCAGCTCAAATTCTTATCTACCCTTTATGGGACTTGTTTTCATATACAAAATAATAAGTAACTCAGCATGGGACAGTTTTTACTTTTTAAAAACATATTACCGTAGAAGTTATATTCCCCAAAAAAATTCTTACAAAAAGCTGTGCACAGTAACAAAAATACATTTTTTAGGCTTTCGTGCTAAAAGAAAAAATCAGCAAAGTATTCTGGAAAACCCAAAACACTGACTTGAGGGTATTTAGCACTTCCAAAGACCACATTCCTACAGAGGTCCTGTTTTGAGTAAAGCTACCATATTTGGGCTGAAAAATAGCAGATGACAGCGAGATGGTAACAAGGAGATATAGACAACTCTCTCTCTCTCTGCTGCTGTCTGGTGGTTGTCCAATTTTTTGCAGTCCTGATTTATTAGCCCTAATACTGAGTGGGCCACACCACTGATGGTTGGGACCAGAGCCAACATCTTCATTCATCCAGTCTTTTGTCTTTCTCACAGACCTGTGACCCAGCCACACCTTCACTTTTTACTCATCTTCATATGTCCACTGATTTTATAAAAATAATTTAATCAGCTTTTATATTGGGCCTGTTGCATGCCACAAAGTCGGAAGAATTCAACACTTCAAAAACATTTTCAAAACAGCCTTCAGAATGAATCTGTTAAAACATTTCTATATATTTAGTATAAGCTACAGATTAGAACTACTTCCTTAAACTATTTTCCATGGAATAGGAAAACTTCTTGTTCCAAATTACATCATTTCCCACCTGTGAGTTTTTCCTAAATTAACTCTAGACGTGCTATGGCAAAATAGTACAAACCTAATATGTATGTGGAGTCCCTGGTGTTCTCTGAGCTTGGCTGTTTGCTTGCAGACATTTCATTACCCGACTAGGTAACATCAGTGCGGATGTTACCTAGTTGGGTAATGAAACATCTGCAAACAAACAAGCTCAGAGAGCACCAAGGACTCTACAGTTCAACCCTCAGCTACATATATTCTCTTCTATTAAGATGTATATCTTAGAAATAAGTAAGATTGTCATATTAAATAATTCAGTGTATGATTTAAAACACACAAACTAAAATGTGATCTTGTCCTTTATGCCTGTTACATACAAGGTTATTAGCAGAGCTGGTGCAAGGTGTATGAAAGACAGATGGCTACGAAACTACCTATCATATAGCTGTAGAAAGCGCCAACTGTACTGACAGTTACTTCTTAGGTTAATACAGTAAGAGCATTTTCAGTTAGTTCACAGGATAAACCATGAGGCATTATAACGTATCAAGCAATACTTTGCTGCTATTTCCACCTGCAGCCATGTCGTTGGGCTTATTGGTAGAGCCAGCTTTCTTAGGAAATATTCTTAGAAAATGTTCATGAGGTAAGGACTTGCAATGTAATATTTGAGTATTAATTTTATGAAGTACAGTAGTCCAATGATCAAACCCAATTTTTTCTAAAATATGTATTAACTGTTATGATCAGATCAATACATACTTTTTACCTGTCTTCCTACTGTGCTGAATTCTCTGTTCACTGGTTTAATATTCTTCCAGCGATATAGATATGCATGGATAGGCTTGGTGAATAAATATGTGGCTCTATAATTGACTATAATAGAAGCCTACGTGAAAGATCCTAGAATTCCAAATATACTATTTATTTATAAGATTTGTATTTTGTTCCAATTCTCTTCATATAAATTCAAAACAACAGACAGACAATATATTAAAAAATGAAACTAAAATTAAAATCCACAATAAAATCAGTTAAACACAGACACACATGTATGTATGCATTGGGGAAAAAACCAGAACAGTTCCAGAGGTCTCATGCTTAACTGGTAAATATTTTTCATTATTTCATGTATTTCATCTCCAGTTATAAATGACCACATGTAAGAAGGTAGAATTCTGGTGCTAGACAGACCGTACCTTTTATGAAAATGGCAAATTGTGAGTTCCTCTGTCCCAGTATTATCTACACTGATCACTTAGATTTCTCAGAAATAAGATCTTTTTCAATTTGACTGCTTAAAATTTACTGAATTTCCCATGCCTCTGTGTAAATGTGGGGTCTTTCGTCTGCTGTCTGTTTATAGTCAGAAAGTCTCCTAGCATTTATTTTCTCCCTTGCTAACTAAAAAAACAGCAATTCAAGGCTTATTTTATTAGTAGCAAGGATGTACTGACCTATCATATAAAGGATAGCAATTATTTTGGCCCAAACAGCAGTGGGGGAGCATGATAAATGTACCAAATGTCCTTGGTTTAGCAATTTTATAAAAAAAACAACTGTATTTTTAATTGACAGAACTACATTTGTTTCTTCATTTCTTTTAATATTATTTAACCAGTTGAATCCTTCTAAGAAAACATGCTTTACATCATATCCTGTCATTAGAACATTGACCAATAATATCTTCTGTTAATATATAAAGCTGCTTCCAGCTCCTAGGCCTTTTGGGTCATCCCTGCTGTATATGCAACATGCTGTGTTCCAAAGTCACTAATCTTTGTTTCCTAATAGAACCAGCATCAGAAGACCTTTATTATTTTTTTTTCCTGGTACATAATTTAACTTTTCCAATTACTATGCCTTGTATCTAGGCAACAACAGTAGTGATGCTTATGAAGCAACCAGATAAAAATATCCATATCTCAAAATAAAGCAAAATGGAATCATCTAGAAAACAATTTGGTTCATAAACCTTGCATATGTTACTATGTAATTATTGATATTTTAATTTATAAGGTATTTTGGAAAATGTTAATGTAATATTTATGCTAAATAAGAGGAGTTACTAATGGTTGTAGAACTCAGTTTTTTAAAATAGGGTTTGGCAGGTGCTGTTAGGATTCTTTATATTTTGTACCACTTGAGTAGTTTGTAGATTTTCTGAGGGCTTTGCCCCTCCTTTCTCCTGAAAATTAATTCTATTTGACTGTTAATTACATTATTACAAATTATTACATTTATTTCATCTAGGAAGAATCCTGGGAAGAGACTGCCTTATAAAAATACTGAACTATGTAAAATTTATTCTTTCTTTGGTACTATGTTAACTCCCTATCATTTTCTCTATTTATAAAGAAGTGGAAGCAAAACTATTTAAGAAATATAACACTCATTTAGAAGACTATGAATTTGCAGTGCCCCAATCTATCAGGCATTGTAGACCTGTGGTTGGGGGCTAGCACATAAGAAATAAGAACACTCTATGCAGTTATCATTTAATATTGGATCTCACAATATGTGCAATGTGCATAACACAAGTTAGGCAGGGATCAAATGCATATAGCAACAAAAATCTGCGGATGATCCAGTCCATCTGATCTTATCTGGCATTGTATAAGTGAGAAGAAACACATTTCTATGTATCTGTTTCTGAGACTATCGTTCTCTGTTACAAAAGGATTCAATAAAAGTATCAGTAAACTTAAGAGAATTTTTTGCTTAATTACAACAAAGTGTATCAGTCATTTTAATTTTACAGCTGGAATTGTAACAGCAGTGCATTGCTAATTCCT